ACTGTTTGCAGCAACGCCTTATGCCTGCTGCAAAAATCGGAAGCACTTAACATTAACTTCCCTTACTACTTGGGCATTAAGCTCACTTCAGATATATCTACATTGTAGCAGGCTAACTATACTCTCCTCTTTAATTCCTTGGAAAGGGACACAAGGATGTAGTCTTTGTATTTGCTCTCTTGGATGGGTAGAATTGCTGCTATAAAACTTCCAAAAATGTTATACTACTTTCACTCTGCCTCTGTTATTCTTGCTTTATGTCTAAAAATATTCCAATCTCTTGTTTTCATATGTATTTGGGGCTCAGAGGGTTGCAGAGTGGCACGCAAAGCTCTGTACGCTACAAAATTGTCTGGTGGTTGGGGGGGTTCCACAGCTTTACCCAGGTTCACACCTAAGCGTTATCCGCAGCGTTTTGCAGAAACGCAGTACAGTCCATTTAACATGATTTCCTATGGGACACGGTCACATCTCCGCGTTTTCACCCGGTGCATTTTTTGGAAAGGGTCAGGGACTTTTTTGAACACCAAAGTTGTGTTTTTGATTTTATAGACTTCCTTGGAAATGCTGCAGAAAAGCATGTAATGCGTTTTTGCCACATTTTTGATGCGTTTTAAATCTGCCTAGCAACACGAAAAAAAAACGCAAAACGCAGCAAAAACATGGCAAAAAAAAACGTAAAAAAATGCAGGTGCAATAACGCAACGCAGAAACGGGACAAACGCAAACTGCATAGGTGTGAATCTAGCCTTAGAGATACTACAAGGTGGCTCAATTAATTCAGCTGACACAAAGATTCTCTACCTGTTATAGACCCAATTGGGTCAAGCCGGAAGCTCAACCTGTCTCTCTGATTTGCGCTTCTTTTTTTTTCCTTTATTCCATTTCCACCTCTAGACTCTTTCTTCTCCCTTCCCTTTCTTTTCCTTTTTCTCATTTCTCTATTTTCCACCTAGTTCTACATGCTGAATTTATGGGGAATGTTGATCTTCTATGCCTCAAGACCAATGTTTTTAACCTCAGTGGAATTTTGTCTGCCATTTACTGCTGTTGACAGTTCACCAGATATATATAACAAAGGAGGTGCGAGCGCCTTAAATAAAACAAAAAAGCTGCTGTGCACAAGAAAGGTAACCAATAGCACCCTAAAACATAGCTAATAAACAAGAAAGTGCAGCGCTAGAATAAATATAATATCCAAATGACTCTGTGTATATAATCACTAAAACCACATAATAAAATAATTCAATCTGAAATAAAAAAGGTAAAGTCAAAAAGTTCCAATGTAAATAGTATATACAGTGACTCTCGTGCTTAATGACTCTGGATCCGGTATCAGTGCAGTAGTGGTAAAGGTAATGCGCACTCACCGGACGCACATAATTATCGCGCCTTATGTTAAAATCCAGATGTCATCAGATAGGTATTAAGTACATGGACTTCCCTCTCAGAGATGGTGGGTCCTCAGATTAGATGTTATGGGGTTGGTAAAGATGGTCCTCGTCCTTTAAAGCTCCTTTACATTCAACCTGAAGTAACTCTCTGGATATGTAGATCAACCCTCAGGGTATGGCAATCCGTCCTAGAGTAGTGGGTCTGCTGGTTTAAAGAGCTCCCCCAGGGGGTAAGGACAAGGAAACTCCCATAGTGTAGTAGTTATAAACAACTTTATTGTGATGCATCAGAAAAGATAAAACAGACAGGACTAACCATCTGGTATTAAAGATGGCCGCCGGAGCTCCATGTTGCTCTGGCTGTGTGACGTCACAGCGTGATGTGGCTCCTCCTGACGCGTATCGTGTACAAACACGTCCTCAGAGGGGGTTCGCCAATCACACCGCGCCGTCCGCCGTAGATATTTATAAGAAAATCGGCACATGCGCTTTAAGCCACGGCCATGTTGGCGAAGCACAGAATGTACTGCGCAGGCGCGCACATTCGGGCGCCATTTTTCGTTAGTTCCCTTATGTAACAGGGCAGATGAATGACTGTCTGAACCCTGTTTATCTACTGCGCACGCATGAAGGCTTCGGTGCCATTTTCCATTGGTTTAACTGGGATCTGTAGACAAAGCAGACGATTGTCTGAATATCTGTGTATTTTATATTAAAATGTAAATGGTATATTATATGTTTGAAAACTAAGGCAATAAATCTACTTGTCCCACTTTTAGAATAGGATAAACAGATAAGGGTAGTGTATAATAGAACGGTACCTGATGCGCATGTGCGAACCGTCCAAGGTTCATATTATTGAGATATAAGTCCCAATATCTATTAGTGAAATTTTATAAATATCATTACAATAAATATAGCATGAAATTATGAATATATAAATACAAATGAATCTATTACCATATCATTCACAAAAACACATTAAAAAAGTAAGAATGATAAATGTTAAAAATAATAATCATCGTGATCATTCATTCAAAATACCCTGCATATACAAAATCACAAAAATTGAATCCAAAAATGGACTGAGCTGAAAATAATAATCATCAATATATGATATGTCAATTAATAGTCCCTAAAATTGTATAATTATTAAAAAATCAAATAAAATTAAAATTAAGCAACCCCTTATATTTTAATAAATGAATAGAGTAGACACAAGGTAAAAATGTATCTAATAAAAATGACTAAAATATGAACAAATATAAATAAAGGAAATCAGCTATTTTCAATAAAACAATTAATATCAACCTCAATGTTTTAAACCATTGGGGTGCAGGGAGCGGAGCTCATGGATCCATCTCATCTCAAGCTGAGATACCGCCCTTCTTTTGTGTATACCCCTCCAATGGGGTTTTATTAAATCAATGCCTATGAATTTTAAGGCTGTTGGGTCTTTGTTATGAACTCGCCTGTAATGATTTGAAAGCGAGTGCTCCTTATACCCACGTTTGATATTATTAACGTGGTCTCGTAGTCTGTCCCTAAGTTGTCTTGTCGTATGACCAATATACTGTAATTTGCAAGGGCACTCTAAAGGTAGACCACAAATTTGCTATTGCATGTGATGCATTTATCTATATTGTAGGTTTTCCCCATTATTTGTGACATAAACTTAGTTTGTTTATATTTCCTACTTCTCTCACATGTGCAAACGACACATTTATTACATGGGTAATACCCTTTCATATCTTTAAAAAGAGATATACTTTCCGGTGGGTTAATTACATTGGGCGCTAGAAAATGCCGTAAGCTGGTAGCTTTATGAAAAACAATTTCAGGTCTTTACGGCAGTATTTTAGTTAAGATTGGATCAGTCTTTAATATCTTCCAATTTTGTTAATAATATGATTGACTGCCCTATATTGCTTAGAGTATGTGGTAATGAATGGGCAGATTTGACCTTTCTTTTCTTTTACTTTATCTCTTAATAAATCCTCCCTGTTAAGTTGTGGTTAATGGTAGAGTCCAAATCATCTGCATTATATTGTTTCTCCAGGAATCTGTTTCGTAAAATTAGGGATTGATTGTAAAAGGTATCCAGATCCGTACAGTTTCTACGTATCCATGCAAATTGTCCTTTTGGTATGTGTGACAGCCACCTAGGGTGGTGGCAACTGTTCTTGGGAATGAAGCTGTTACGGTCTTATTTTTTTAAAAAAAGATTTTGTAATTAAGCCCCCATTGTGATTTAAAAGTGTGAGGTCTAAAAAGTTGATTTCCTTTATGCTGTATGAGTAAGTTAAATCAATATTTAAACCATTATAATTCAGGGTCGTAAAAAAATTAATAAGGGCTTGTTCCTCCCCATTCCATAACAAGAACACGTCTATATACCGCCTATAAAAAGTGAGTTATGGCCACTCTCTTTAAAAATTCAGCATCTCTTCCCAGTGGGCCATAAAGAGGTTGGCGAGACCGGGGGCAAATTTAGCCCCCATTGCTACGCCCTTAACCTGTAAATAGTAGTTCACCAGATGTGTTATACTGACTTGCTATAGACTGAGGATATCTGCTCATTTACTTATTGGTCTGGATACTCACTTGTACCTTAATTTTGTTTTCAATTTCAAATATATTAAAATTTTTAAAAATGTATCGAAAACAGAAAAATGAAGGTATATTAATTTGCAAAGTGAAAAGCCTATTTGCTTTTGTAAATTAACCCCTTTGAGTCTAACTTTTGCTCAGACCGCAGGTCCAGAAGCTGGAGATCTGCTAACACCTTTGACGTGAAGGTGCATCCCAATGTTTAAGTGTTCACACAGCCAGATGGGTCCCTTGGTATCGCGCCTCTTTGGCTTTTGGATGCTCATAACAGCTCTTTTCGGTTTAGATGACATCTATTCCATCTGCACTATAGATGCCCTCCTGTGCTACTACACAACCTTTACTCTCCCTAGGTTGCAGTCTTAATAGGAATATGCCTTTGGGAACCATACCCTACAACGGTATTCCCTCTATTCATCCAGGAAATTCCATATCCTCAGTTAATGCTGATTCTGAATATTCTCTTCCCCAGGAGGGGCCTGCTGAGTTAGTTGCTATCAATTTCCACTGCTCCCTCCCCTGGCAGTGTGACTGCTTTGTGTCCGCTCTAGGAGACGGGTACTGCTTGGTACAAACTGAGGATTTTGAGTAGAGGAAGGGGGGGTTACCTTGGGCTGGCCTACAGGTTTTTTATTTGTGTCCAATCCTCCCAACAGCATATGTCTTCCTTGTCCCTCAATAGACTCCAAGAAAAGGATTTTATGGGGAGTACAATATTTTTATTTTAGCATACAATTCTACGGCTGCATGTTTAAAAAAGCAGTAATAGAATACAATTACTATGTTAAAACTGACATACAGTTTAACATATGAGATAAGGCAAGAATAAACACAAAACTTAGGTGAGACACCATAATATACTTCTTTACAATAATAGATAAAAGCATATTTATTTGCAGATAAATTAAAACTTTGCATCTTTGTCTGAGAAAGGCACATACTACAACAAAACAACATGCATAAAGCCTTCAACCTCATTGCAAACAATGACAGTCACTAAGAAACTCCCCAGTCCAAGGCTTTCATGAACTCCTCTTCTGTGAATGAAAGCATCTTTGCTGCTTCTATGTGCATCTAGAAATGGTTGGGGGGAAAAAAATAACGGATTAGCTTCACAATAAGTGTACACTGAAAATATTATACTAATAGCAAACAGATTCTTTCTTGTTCTTGTCCAACTTCAGTAAATTCTACTGGTTGCTCAGGGTAACTTCACTTCTGCCATCATTTACTGAATAAATCATCTACTACTTAACTTGGCACAAAATTGTTGTATGAATCGTGTGAGAGACCAGCGGCACCACAAGAAAAATTGGTAACTACCACTACAGCAAGGGCCTTCTCTAGTGACCAGTCCTCATTTTGACAGGTATTCAATCAAGTCTGGACCTCATATATATGTTTGCTCCAACTGCTACTTCATAACCACAGACCGAGGGCATGAAATGTAAAGATAGGTAGCTGGTAGGTTAATTGGCTAATGTATAAATTGGCCCTAGTCTGTGTATGAATGTGAGCTAGAGACCTTAGATTGTACGCCCCTTGAGGGTTAGGGACTGATGTGAATGTACAATATATGTATTTAAAGCGCTGCGTAAACTGATGGTGCTACATAAGTACCTGAAATAAATAATAAATAAAGATAAGAGTCTTCCTGTAGGTTATTGATTATATTTCACTTGTACCTGAAGGCGCTGACTGCCTTCCCTCCTATAGAAAATAGTTTTAGTATAATATTACTTTTTGTGTAAGAGGAGTTAGGCCCCTTTCACACGCGGTGGACTCCGTTTTGATCAGCTGGGGATCGGTCTGCTGAGCAGAGCAGGCACATGACAGGTCTGTGTCCGCTCAGTTTATGCAGAGCGGACATGTATAGAGACTGCTCTGCTGTATGGGTGGACAGGTGTAAACAAACTCTGCTGTCCGTTTACACCAGACTGCCCTTTGATTATTATTATGCAAGATTTATATTGCGGCAACAGTTTGCGCAGTGCTTTACAAAATGAAGGTAGACATTACAGTTACAATACAATTTGGTACAAGAGGAACAGAGGGCCCAGCTCATTAGAGCTTACAATCTAGGAGGAAGGGTTGAGGGATACAAAAGGTAATAGTTGTGGGGGATGAGCTGAAATAAATGGAGGAAATAAATGGCAGTTTACGAAGTAGAAGCAGGATAGACTTCTTTAAAGAGAAAGGTTTTCAGGGATCGTCTAAAGGTTGATAGATTAGGAGATAGCCGGACAGATTGGGGTAGGGAGTTCCAAAGGATGGGAGAAACTAGGGAGAAGTCCTGGAGGTAAGCATGGGAGGAGGTGACACGGGGACTAGAGAGCAGAAGGTCTTGGGAGGATTGAAGAGAGCAGTTTGGTTGAATTTTCAGTCCAGGTTGGTGATGTAGCTGGGGGCAGAGTTGTGGAGGGAAACAGATCCCCTTCCATTTTTTTTTTTGTTGACCGGATCAGATTAGGAGGTAAGTGGGTGTAAATGGACTTGTGTTCATAGTTGTGAATGGACCGTGCAATCAGATCCACCTGAAAAACTGATTGGACCTTTCGTATGAAAGGGGCCTAAGAGTCTAAATGAAGGGGTGTCTAAACAGAATCCTACCGACAACATTTATATACTGTGGTTTACCATTTGCAGAGCCTTCAGTGCTCAGAGAACTGCAATCTTTGTACAATAAACTTTAGATTTACCAAAACTGTATTTTGAGGACCTATCCAATCACTTACAGTTTTGGTTTTACATACTTTTTAAAGAGGTAGTAAACAATGAAAAAAAAAAAAAAAAAAAAAAAAAAAAAAAAACCTTCCTGCAAGGCAAAGGCAGGATATGCCAGTATACATCGCATAATAGCACATTATGAAAGACTTCTCTAGAAACAAAGCCCTCCAGTGACATGCTGACACTGCTGCAGAGGCTTCCATCTTCACCTGGTCTTCTTTCTAGGTTTGTGGGCTGCAGCCATTTGAATGGCTAAGCTGCAATAATGTCACTCCTGTGCTCTAGTGGACAGGACTCTAAAGGAACAGCATACCCCTGGCCATTCCTTCAGAGCTCATTCATTTAACCTACTGTAAGCTTTATTAAGGTTAAAATACAAATTGAGAGTTTACTACCACTTTAACCCTTTTGCCACCAGATTCATACGATGTATGGACCTGACAGCAGGGGGTTTTATGCAAATTTCAGTGGCTGCAGCCCGATTGTTGTGTGCCACGATTGCTTCCACAGTGCCCTGGTATCGGTGCCCCCTATGTGCGCACTCCCGACATGTATCTGGACCCTGCTTGCCCATCTGTGGGCCCTGGGAGCACCGTGGTGGGCACTGAAGGGTGGAGGCGAGAGAAGAGAGCATCTGCTCTCCTCTCCTTCTTTCTGTGACCCGGAAGGCAATGTGTACGACATCACGTCTGGGTCACGGCTGTCACTTTCCCTGGCTATAATAGCTGGGGAGAGATGTATTGCAATGTGATATGCATTACAATACATCCAGTGGAGCCCAGATGAGACATGCAGGGTCTTTTAGACCTTGCATGTCTCAATAAAGAGAACCTGTCACCTACAAATCATCACATATGGTACTTTGTGTCCCCTATGTGATGAAAAAAAAAAGTTACTTTTTCTTTTATTTCAAAAAAATAAAGTTACGCCCAAGCATATAATATCCCCCTGCAGAAAAAAATTTTGAGCCCCACATATATGCACGTACGAACGTAAACATTGGGGTGCCTACAAGTGAAAACGTCAATTGTGATACAAGTTACATATCGCCGCGCACGTTGGATTGAGAGCAATAATTCTAGCATAAGACCTGTAGGGGTTTTTGAAGCGTCACCTATAGAAAATATAGGGTACTGAAATTTGTCCCCATTTCATTGGCGCACACAAATTTAAGGTTTGGCATGTTGGGTATCTATTTACTGTGCGCAACCTCATCTTTTATATTTTACCAAAAAGGTGGGTAATTTATTGCGTTTCTTTGACCTAAAATTCACTTTAGTGTGTTTTTTACAAAAAGTTTGTGTTTCCTAGACCTTTGCGGTAATATCATGTGACAAAAAAAAATTTGGAACTACCACCATTTTATTCTCTAGTGTGTCTGCTTTCAGAACATATATCATGTTTGGGGGTTTTGTATGATCTTCAGGCCCAAAGTAATTTTTTTTTTAAATGTGTGCAAAAACGGCTCTGGCAGCGAAAGGGCTAAAGACAGTTTTGACAAAAATCACACTGAGAAAGTCTCTGCATGTACAATGCTCATCCATCACTCAAATGCTTTTTGTGTTGATATCACATCAGACAGCCATCCTTTCACGCTTAGTTCTGCCTATTCAAAACAAGTAAAAGCCACAGAGTTTTTCAAAGGTCGAAGTGTAAAAAGTATTTTACAGCTCAGTTATTCCTGCCAGTGGTGTAGCAGAGACGAAAGTTATTTTAGATTTCAGAGACCTATGGGAATTTCATGTGAAAAATGCCCCTTGGACTAACTTGTACATAAAATATATTTTTAGAGCAAAGACAACAGCAAACACAGAAAACACCTGAAATGTTACAGAATTTTGTACTCTCACACTCCTTTATGCTGACAGGTGTTACTTGTACTTAGAGCTCCCCAGGGGAACATCAAAATGGCTGCCACGTAAAAACCCAGCCAATAACTAAACCGCGCAGCGACTCACATAGTAGGCCATTCTAAAAGTAATACTGGAGTAAGCAAATACAAAGTTATTTGGTTTGGGGCTAAAACAACAAATGCATCTCCTACATATAAAAACATGTTAAAAAGTAAGTACACTCCATGGAAAATGTTGACTTTTTCAACTTATTGGAACAGGCAAACATTATATCCTGATTCAGATCATGCCTACAGATTGGCATGTTCTGAATCACAAAGTGGAGTCATTTTTATGCACTAAATGAACGAAAATGCAAATTTGTTACATGGTATAGAATACCCCTACATTTTACCACCACTTAAAATCCATGAAATTAGAATCCCGTATTCCAGAGTGGAAGGTAATTAGGGCATAAGCAGGTGGAACACAGCTTATATAAACCTCAGACATGTAGCTTACAGTGTTCTCTTTGCTACTGACACGTATGATTTATCATGCCAAGATCAACAGAGCTTTTTAAGGCCCTCAGAGAGAAAGTTGTAGTAACCTATAAGTCTGGCAAGGGATTTAACCTTTTTGCAACCACTGACATAAGCCTTATACTACAGATGTCGGTGTCAGCTTTCAGATAGAAGTGGCCTAGTGCTTGTACAGCTGCCCGATCACTTCCACGGACCATCGGAAGTGGCGCAACTCCCCCCTTCCTCCGGCCAGTATGCTGGGGTCTAGTAAACCCACCCGTGGATCCGAAACCTGCATGGCAAGTGTCCCCAGGTATAGGGGAGGGAGATCACTGAACGTCCATCTTTAGAGACCATGGATCGTATTGTTACAGTGTGCTATCACATTATTATTATTAAATAATAATTATAAAAAATATAATTAAATAATAATAATAATCACATAGGGGGCTATTGGTCCCTATGCAATAACAAAGTTTAGAGGAAAAAAATGTGCAAAAAATTTAAGTTACACCTAAGCACTTAAAGTGGTAGTAAACTGCAAAAAATGAAACTAAAAAATATTCTCCTGCAAGTTAAGAGCATATTGTGCCAGTATGCATCACATCCTAGCACATTATGAAAGACTTACCTGAAAACGAAGCCCTCCAGCGGAGCACTGTCGTGCTCCCCCAGGGGTTCCATTTTCCCCCCGGTCTTCCTTCCAGGTTCGCGGGCTGTGCCTGTTTGACTGGCCAAGCCACACGGGAGTCTCAGCCACGGCACGGCTCTCTCAATTGATGGCACGCTGTCCTATTGAGAGTGCAGTACACGTGCCGGTGACATCAGTGGCTCTGCTAAAGTAAGTATCTCCTAAATGGTGCACGGTTAGAGATATTTACAGTACCTACAAGTAAGCCTTATTAAAGGATTACTTGCAGGTAAAACATATAAAATAGACTTTACTATCACTTTAAACTTGAGGGATTTGGAAACAGGCATGTTAAAAAAA